ATAGGCTGGAATGGATTAAGTTTATGTTTTGACACCAAGTTTTTAAAAGACCAAAGTTTTGTTAGTGCTGCATGCCTTTTGTGTAATGGGAATGAGTAACAAACCCAGACGTGTGCTTATAAGTTTTTGTATGATATTTCAATTTTATTTGAAGTAAGTGTGTTTACTCTGATCCTCATGTTGTATTAATATTTATATTCAACAGAAACCTTAAACCACAGTACGGGAGGGAGAAAGAGGTCATATGAGCCTGTCCCTCCCTAGTCTTTAAAGACCTAAATCCTGATAAGGAACAAATGAAGTGATAGAGGAAGACTTCATACCTAAGTTCTCTAAATGGTATTCCCTCACCTTACACAAATGATTAACATAATCTTTCTAAGTTTGTAGAGTACTTAAATTTTTTTTTTTCTTTGACAATCTGGAAAAACCCAACGTTTTTAGCTTTGACTTGATTTCTTCATTTTCTGATGAGCTAGACATTTCTTCTGATAAGCCTGAATCAATACCTATGTTCCATAACTGCCTCACTATACTTTCAAGTTTGATTTTATTTATTTAGTATTTACTGATCGGATTTATCTCGTAACTAGTTTGTTTTTATGCAAAAGAGAGGAAGAGATTTCTTCAGTTGCTTTTTTCTGTTAATTTACAGTTTTAAACTTTTTATTCATCATAGTCCTCATTCTATAAATTTTCTTTTCAGATTTTCATCAAATTGACTCAACTGTTTTTTTTTTCTTAAGCCTTGAATTTATAATAATAACATATCATAGAATATTCTGTTTTTTTTATCTTTGGAACAATTTCATTGGCTTTTTTTCATCTTCTTGGGTAGCTTATTTTTAAAAAATTAGGGTTATTTTGGCTTTTAAGTCATACCCAGTACAGAAAATTTTTTCATTATTAGAAGCATAAATGCAAAGAATGTTACAATTTTATAATTTAAGATTTCCACCAAACAAGTCTTGAGGTTATTTTACATGAACAAAACCATTCCAACATCAGTCACCTATTTACTTTCCAGATAGAGGTACTGATTGGTGTATCTAAGTCAATGTATTTCTCCTTTTATGAGCAAAATTTTATAGAGATAATATTCCATGAAACTGAGATAAACATGATGGTATGGTTTGTCTTCAATAAAAATGAGGACTGTGGGAATAATGGGGTTAGACCATCAAGAACTTTCTAAGACTCCTGTTACTGAAAAATGTAGTTACAAAATTCCATGATGTTCTAGGATTTTTATGACCTGTAAAACAATGTTTAAATTAGGTTAGCAAATAAGAATTCATCTATTTTTATTTTAACAAAACATTTTAATACGATTTATATCAAAACAAAATCTTAAATCTGATATTCGGTTATAGTTTTATTTTGAAAATAATCTAAAGGAAGAGATTATACAATTTTTTTTTTTCAAGCTTCGTATCATTATGTGCTGTAAATGAAAAACAAGATACCATGCTGGGATGGGTCAACTGGATAAAATGTTTAGATGTATTATACAGTAATTGTTTTCATGCTTTTGGAGAAATGTAGAGACAGTAAAATTAACTTACTCCTTTAGTGCATTTCAAGTTTTTGCTATCAACAAAGTTGCAGCTTTCCTCTGACACATTTCCATGACAACAGTTGTCAATAAGGATGTTCCACAATCTGAAACAAAACATAAAACATGAGGCATTAGTAAATGAAAGACTATATTAATATTTCTACACAGAGAAGATATGTGTATTACAACTCCTCAAGTTTTAAGAGAAGTGTGTGTATACTGAGCTCATAAATGTTGACACACGCACACAATCCTCCTAGCCTTAGAGACAATTATATCTGCAGCTTACTAAAAACAGTTTGAAACTTAAATCTTTCAGACCAAACGTACTAGGCCTAGCTATACATAATAAATTAAGTTGTTATTAAGTCAGTTTTTCACTCTGCATGCATTTCCAGATTCTAGTCAGTCATAATTTCATTTAAGACACATTGTACTAATGTTATTCAACAAGTCTTTAAAACTTCAAATGACTGAAACATTCATACCATCTATTTAAGGCATAGGGGATTACTGTATTATCTCAGATGGGCCATCGTCCAATGGGGAGAAAATACAACAGCAGAGTGAACATGATTGACAAAAATATTTAGATAGACTCTGGATGTATCTGTCCTTCTAGGGGAAAGAAAAAAGATCTCCTGCATCAAGGATGTTCCCTATATCATTGCACCTAGTTGTTAACTGTTATGAAATAATTTGCTACATCTACCACTACTGAAGGGATTTTTCAATTAGGAAAATCTGATATCTTGCATTTTACAAGCCTAACTAGTTGTATTTTCTCTTACTCCGTTAATCACCAGCAGGTAGTAGTCAGTGTTTTGTAGTGGCAGACATGTTTACTTTTGAATGCTACTGTTAGCCTCCTATAATAAATAAGCACATAGTGCAGGTCCAAGAACTGATCTCTGTTAACATCAATCCCACTGTATGGTACCTATTATAATGCCCCTTTGAAAGTCAAAGATTCTTGTTTAGGTATGAAGAAGACAGACCAATGAAACATGCATGTTCCACCATCAATAAAATTATTTCTTATGCATACAAGTTGTTGTTTGCCTACCTGTTATTATCATAATCATAAAAGTCAAGTGTCCGTCATGCTTGATTTCTTTAAGTTTTGCGAGTTACACGAGTCCAATTCCACTTTTTCTGCTATAATACTTCCTCTTTTCATTGCCTGTTCCCATTTGAGTTGAATTCAATCGCTAACATAGGCATAAATAGCTCTTACATTTTGGCACTTTTTCTGCTACATAAAAAGCCTGTCAAGGAGGGAGTTTTTATACCAAGGATTTATTTAAAACAGAGTGAAATTAATTTGCTGTTTGTTATAAAGAGAGGTTTTTTGAATATGATTGACTATTTTCAAGAAATGTGGTTTTAAGAGAACTATTGCAATAATGCAATTCATATGATAAGAAAATAAGTGTGATCAATGAATGCTGGGACAAGGATCAATGCTTAGGTACAGGAGATATTGCTCATGATAGGCTTTGGTTTCCCGAAGATAGAAGGCCCTTTATTTTTTTACGTCTGTTTACAGGTGGTAAAGCTGGGTATGCATATTGGAAGACTTTTGTTTCCCATCATTTTTGATGGACTTTTATACTAGTATTAGCATAATGTGCTTTCTTATTCAAGTACTTCTAATATTATTATTTATTACCAAGAAAACTATAATAGTCATTGATTTTTTTCCCCATCCCCATGAAGTATATGGGTATCTCTACCATCTCAAATAAATGTAAAAAAGCAATATAATAGTTACTTATTTTACTATTAAAATATTATTCACAGCTGAGAATTTCGTGATAAGTCACTAAACTTAAGTATCAGAACTAGTTCAAAGTGAAGATGACTCCAGGTGCAAAGCACAACTAAAAATTAGTAAAGTATTTTACTATTATTTGTAATTATCAGTGCACTTGTGAATATTTTACCCGACATGCTCAAATCAATGTATGGTTGCATACGCTAAGATGACAAATGAATCCTATTCATATACACAATCAGCTTGTTGAGCTTAATGCAAGTAGCAAGACTGTATGTACATATATTAATATGATTACCTATTAAATATTTAAATTGAAAAGAAGCATTAAACTTACTCTTTGCCAACCAGACCATGGTAATAAGCAAAAAATACCAAAGAATTTCCTAGGTACCTCCTACTAAGAAAGCCATTTCCAACAGCAAAACCCTAAAATACACAGAATATATGTGAATAAGAACAAATGAATACGTTGTTTTAAAACATGAAATTCTGGAATTAGTAAAAATTGTAGTAAGTTAGATTCAAGTGAAAATGTGATCTTTTGTTTTGCAGTTCAATATTCTTTTAAATACAGTACCAATAAAATGTAATTATAAAAAAGGCTGCACCATTCTTCTAACTTAGAGTAAAAAAAAACTTAAATTATGTAACTACTGCAATCAAATAAGATGCAAGTTTGGATAAGTAATAACTGACTAGTAATGACCTCTACCTCACTGAGTTGAGGCACATGTAATTAAATATATTTTTCTATTTTTTAATAAATTATATGCATACTTTGATATTTTTATCATATAATTATTCCTTTTTCTAACAAATAATATTGTCAGAGAAACATTCTAATATTAAATGTTTTACATGAAATAGAAATGCATTAACAAAATAAGATGTCTTGTATAGGCTCATTCTATCAAAGAGTTGTGAATAAATTCCTTTCATAGTTCATTCTACCTTCTTTCTCCGTGAAATCAAACAAATCTTTCTCACAGTATAAATGTTTACACTTTTAAGTTTTAATTAAGTATAAAGCTGTACAATTACCTGCCTCTGCCATTCATAAACTTTAAGAATTATAAGCCTGTAATCTTAATGCTGAACCATCAAGGGCACTTTTATTAAGAATAAAAAAATTCCTCTGTTATTTGGTAACCTAATCGTTTACCGACATATTTTTTTTACCTACTATCTTGAGAAGTTACTACATTTATCTCTCACTATTTGTCTTTTAAAACAAACTTGCAGTTAGTTAACAAAAATATGAAACATACAAACTATTCATTCAATATTAGAACCCTTTCTTATTATGGTCACCTGAACCTATGCAAAATTATTGAAATAATAGTCAAATAACAGAAAGTAAGTATTTTCCACAGTAATTTGAAAGTGACTTTTAGAATACATTGGTGGATGTATGCAGTGATTCTGATGTGCAAATTGATCGTCAGACTTTGGTAAAGAGGCGAAAGACTAATCAAACCATCTAGTAACTGGTTCCCTCAGAAGTTTCCCTCAGGATAGCTGGTGCTTGAGGGTAAATCAGTCTCATCTGATAAAGCTAATGATTAGAGGCCTTGGGGCTAAAATGATCTGAACATATTCTCACATTTTAAATGGGCGAAAAGTTCAACTTCCTCAACTGAAGCCCGGATGTTCAGATGCGAGTGCCCAGTGAGCTGTTTTTGGTAAGCAGAACTGGTGCTGTGGGATGTACCAATGCTGCCAAATAAAATGTAATGCTCATGGCACTTACGAACTTATCTATTAAATGCCAATCTGTTTAACAACATAATATCAGATTCCCACCTTAAAGTAACCACTCTTTCAAAATTTTCATAACGGCTTTTAACAAGAGGTTAAAATAGAATGTCTAAAATACATAAACATGCATACATACCTGAATTTTACCAAACACTATATTTTCACAGTAATAAAATATTGCTTGAAATGTGACAAAGTAGGAATAATGAATTGTAAAAATGTACGATTCCCATGAAAATTTCCTCCAAACTTATTCAGTTAAAGGATTCTCTCTCACACATAGAAGTACCTTGCTTAAACTATACAAATTACTTTAATGAGTCAAACTTGCCTTTAAATTGATTTTGGCTGGTCCACTTAGAATTTTTACAGATAAAGTAGGAACATAAATACCACCATAACTCTCTCCTGCAACATAAAAATCATTTTTCTTCAAATGTGGAAACTTCATGAAGAAATGCTGTAGAGCTACATAATTATCTTTGGCAGCTTGGTCGTCGTCAGTGCTGTACTGACCATCTTTTGAAAAAGAGAATCCAACCCCTGCTGGAGCTTCTAGAAAAATTACATTTGCAACCTAAGATAAATAAAGAAAATGTTTGTTAGGTTGTTAATTTAAAAGTAATGTTGTTTTTTTTCTTCTCATTAACAATATAAAATGTCACAAGTGTGGGTAAGTAAATTTAATGAACATTTCAAAGTTCATACTTGTACAGCAAAATTTTAAATAAAGAATATTCTAAGGGCTCAAAATAACCACTAAATTTATTCTTCATAACTTCAGATGAAAAATGGTCAACTAAATATTAACCTTATTCCAACTGTAAGGATTATCATACAAAGTCTTCCCATCCTCCTTTACATGGAAGGGTCCTAATTCATTAAGGAGTCCATCCAAAGAACTACAGCCTGGACCACCATTCATCCAGAGCACCACTGGGTCATCTGTAGGAGACTTCTGGCTTTCAACAAACCTTTAATATGTGAAAGAAAAGAGTTAAAATAACTTAAGATCAAAATGAACATCACTATGATTTTCCTCAATCTTCAAACACTTTTTGGAGTACTAAGTTTATATAATATATCTGTTATTGTGTGGCTATATAATGTGAAGAACTGAATAATGGCCAATGACAATTTTTCTTCACTTCACCTATCCAGTGTATAGGTTTTTCTCATAGTGACTACAAGGTACGTTCACACCAAAAGTACGTTTGAAGTATCGGACAGTTAGACTAATAACAGTAGATTCACTCATGAAATGAGAAGAGTAATTTTAGATCTAATAACCAAGTTTTCTTAGTGTATATGAAGCAACAAGACTAGATATTAGGGTGATCCTTATTTTTGAAGCTTTGATTTACAATCCCTCACCCCTTATTTTGTTCCAGTATATATAAATAAGTAATTCACACCAAACTTTATCCAGGTTGATCTAGGTAGTTGAAATTTTACCTTGTAGCTGACATTATATCTGCATGTTCTAAATATTCTATAATAAGCTCAAAATGTTCAAATAATTCTGGAAGGTTCTAGATTATTCTGGAATACTGTAGCATATTCTGGAATATTACAGAGTATTCCACACTATTCAAAATGTTCAAATAATTCTGGAAGGTTCTAGATTATTCTGGAATACTGTAGCATATTCTGGAATATTACAGAGTATTTCACATTATTCAAAATGTTCAAGAAATTCCATATACAAATAATCCATGCTGTCACTTTTTATTTCTGAAATATTCTGTATAACATGACAGTAGTCTCTAGAATTTCTACAAGATAACTTCAGATCAGCCCACCTAGAAATGATAACGAGAGCGTCATGAACTAGCCATAACCTTTCTTGGTGACATCTCTCCTCGTGGAGTGTAATTTATAGCACCTGGAGCACTGCAAGACATTATATACCCTCAAGATCTGGATGTTTATGGGCAGTTTAAGAACTCTGGCAATGAGGAAATGGAACTCCATGATGTCTGGATTTTTGTTGTTCGAGTCTGTCTTGTGACATGTGGTTCACTGCTCCTGATGCCATTTCTGCTGATCAAAATGGTCTTAACTTCCTACAATGCCTTGTTAAGTATAAGAAGGTGAATTCTGTTCTTTCAAATCTACCTGTCAAGCATTTGCTGGACATCTATAGTATCTATGAGAAACTCGTTGGTTTGGCACTCTTTGATTCAGTTGTATCCACAGGGACAAAACAAGCAATGGTAAAGGAACTAAATGAGAAAAAAGGTATGAATAAACCACCAAAGCTTATCCAGCTGAATATCATGATAAAGGAACTAAATGAGAAAAAAGGTATGAATAAACCTCCAAAGCTTATCCAGCTGAATATCATGAGGTCTGCAGACATGTCAATTGAAGGTTTCATCACAAAGAACACAACAGACTTCTCCAGGTGCTTCGAAATTCCATCTTGATTTCTGGATTATAATCCCAAGTTATGGGAGCTCAGAGAGGACTACAGGGAGGCACTACAGACAGTTCAACACTTGAATATGGTAAATAATAATGCTGAAAGAGGTGCGGCCCTTACTGACAAGTATAATGCCATCATAACAAAGAAAGAACAGAAATAATTCCCCCTTCAAGTTGTGCAGGATTATAACAGGCACTTTTCTAACAGTAAAAAGGAGTGCAAAAGTGACTAACCACACCAAGATCATATAAATATACTACTATATATATATATATATATATATATAATAATATACTTTAAATAAATAACCTATAACATAACAAATATGTTTTTATATCACACAGTATATACTGTACCAGGTCACTGCAGTCTACAACTTCAACCTCATTGAGCAATATTTAAATATGGTCCAAAATGAATGAAGTTTGAAATATAATGTTTGTTTGTACACTGGAACCAAATTAGGGGATGAGAGCTTTATAATTTTTTACTCTGAAATTTTATTTGCAAATAAAGACCAACCTACTAGACATATTTGGCAAAAATGAACAAAATATTCAATACATGACAGACAAAAAATGCAGAGTATGAACTTGTACGGAGAGCATCACAATCGAATCTCCACCAGGTTGTGCTTAATCCCACAGCTTTCAGACACTCAGAATTGATCTCTGTAGAACTAAAACATGATGATTTTCAAGCACTATCTTCAATCAATGATCTCTTAGTAGAACTTACTAAGAAAGAGTGTCTAAATTCAACAGCTAAACTTAGTTTCTTTGTCCAGTTAACAGCACTACTTATAATCCTGGTTCTCTCATAGCATTGGTCGGCTGTAGCATTTAGACAATCTCAACTCAACCAGCAAAAATATTACAGTCACTAATACTTTTAACTCTTTCAACCCGAGCTCTGTCCCTAGGACTGACCTCGTAACCATTTTGTGCTTGTTATAGTTTTCATGCTATAACTTTTAACTTAGTAAGCAAATGTTGACAAAATTTGGTAGATTATAAGTAAACATTACAATGCTTTAATATGCAAAATATCTAATTTTTTTTATTAAGTCTTAAGGTTTGTAAAGCAATGTTTCTTTCATGACTTTTTTGTTTTGTTTTTTCACAT